TGAAAAGTCCACAGGATGCTTTGCCAAAACCACTGAAGACACTCAGGCATCAAGAAGTAAAGACCCATTGTTTAAAGGGAAGATTTGTTGGGCGTGGAAGCGCTCAGGGAAGGCTTCACATTGCAAAGGTTAAGTCAAAGGCTTGCAGCAGCCCACTGACAGAGCAACTCACCCTTGATGCTAAAAGAAATCCCAGACCAGAAGCAACAGGATGGGATTGAATCAACTTTGAAGAGATTCAATAAGATTCCAAATGCCCATCTAAAACACATTTCTGATAACACAGAATCTGTAAATGCAGCTGGCCTAACACTGCCTGCTTTTTCTTTTGAGTTTGGCAAGACTACTGCCATCCTAGAAACGTATTAAAAATGCGAAGTATAAAAACCCAGGGAAGATATAAAATGAACTATGAATCATGAAAACATCAAAACCAAACCCATAGTAGAAACTGCTCTTTAATAGTTGAAATGTAGGCATGAATACATTTTGGATCCCCTTGTAAGTATGTGTGTGAGGACTGAGATGTATGGGGGTGTGGGCGTTTGTGTTTTCTGACATGTGGGCACAATCTGCTTTCAAAGTTTGTTCAACTTTTAAATGGAATTGGTGGAGATGTTGCTAAAATATTTAAGAGCATTTGTCTACTTACTTTGTACCCAGCATTTCAATATTTAAGATGATTTAAGTCACAAAATAGGTTTTGACTTATTAGTAGCAGAAGCAGATCTGAAGCAGGCTTCCTGGCTACTGGGTCTCAGGTTTGTGAGGTCCCCTTCCTGTCCCTAACACCACCAAGGGTGTCAGTAGAAGGACGAAGGGAGAGATGATTAATCTTGCTTTATGCTATGTTAAGAAAAAAATGTTAGTAATTGGTAAAATAAAAAATGTGAACTTTAGAAAAGGTTCCTATCATACCTTGGTCATGAATGGTTCTAGGAACAATGTTATCACCTGATTTTTTTTTCAAGTAGAAATATTACCCCTCAGCGTCAAAACATGCACTTGAGGTTCAGGCTTTCATTTCTGCCTCACTCTCTCCATTCCCTGTAACAGGTACACACTCTACTGGCTTCAAACAAAATTCAGTAGAAAAATCTATGAAACAACCACTTTCCAGTATTCTCTTTCGTATAGGTACAGTCAATACCTCAGGCACGCACTAAAAACAGCGATGTGTAAAATATGAGGAGGCTTCAAAACGTCTGTGGGAAAATGGAATTGAAACAGTGAAATGTTTCCCTGAACTTTTGGAAGCCCTCCTATATAAAGCCCTACCCCAAGCTTTTACAGAGAGAGAGAGAGAGATAAACAAGGCAGACTCTTATATGTACTCGATTCCACTTATATGTCTGGTAAAATCAACATCCAATTGTTTACTGGGCACTCAGTGGCACACACAGGTTTCTTCCCTTCCCTGACCCCCCTGCAAAGTAAATTCGGTGTGTGATTTCTATAGCAAAGATTCGATCACATTTTCTTACATGATGGGATTGACATTTTCAGTGTTTGTCTTTCAAAGCAGTGGTGGGTTGGTCGGACATGCATTTTAGAGTATCATAACTTGAACTTCAAGATTTAATTGGTTCCAGTTGATAATGATACAGACATAGATGAAAGCCCCGTTTATAAAATGACCATGCCAGAGAAAGTAAAGTTCTCATATAGAGCAGCCCTGATCAATGTGCTAGCTATTCCACGTAATATTCAATATGCTTACCAAAAAATGTCCAGTACAACATAGGCTGGTGGACAGATAATAGCTTGGCATCACCTATAATGGGATTTGACAAGAGCCAGGCACTTTAGGCAGGCTCAATCAATGATAATTGAAGCAGAAGTGATTCAAAGGCAAATAGAAGTCCTTGAGAGGTGAGAGGGGAGCTTGGGGACTGTGACTCTCTCCTTTCCCATTATCCCTTATATTTAATTACTTGTTCTAGGCAGTGAATTGTAATTTGATTTGCCATCAGTTGACTTTTGCCGGGCCTCATATGTTAGTTGAGTCTCTCATTTAGAGGAAAAAATATCTCATCACCTGGAGAAGTACCTGTTTCATGAAAGGAAGTGGTTTCCTGGACACTGGGTCTCAGATTTGCCAGGTCCCCTTTCCTGCCCCTAACATAGCCACATGTATCAGTAGAAGGACGAAGGGAGAAATGACTTACCATATACACTCGAGTATAAGCTGACCCGAATATCAGCCGAGGCACCCTATTTTACCACAAAAACTGCATGAAAAATGTGCTGAAAAACTCGGTTTATACGTGAATATATACGGTAATCTTGATTTTTTTTCTGTGTTCTAAGTGTTGGGCTGCTAACTGCTAGCTACTCTACTTCTGTAAAGATTCACAGTCTTGGAAATCCTACAGGTTCTCCCCGAGACAGAATCGACTCAATGCCGTGAGTTTGCTTATTTTTTCTGGTACATTATTTATACAACAAACAAGGACCAGCATTCCGTGTGAGTTAGATGCTCCCTCACACAGACCAGGAGACTGATAAAACTTATGGAGAACCTGAAGGTGTGAGACAAGGAAAGCAGCCAGCCAATGGAAGTAGGGTAGCCAATTAGTCACCACCATGGGGGCTGCACTGCACTGCAGCATCTCTGGGAACCTCAAACCTCGTGCAGACGTGGTCTCAGTAGTTCTACCTGAGGAGGGTGGAAGCTGAGACAGTTATGTTCACCAGCCTCCCCAGGCATTGGTTGAAGATTAATCTCAGATGCAGAGGAGAATCAAGGCCCTCAAACTTCTGGCTTGTGAGTCACACAGGTGCCTCAGTCTTGGTCTTCAAAAAGATGGACCAGACACCAACAGTCTCAGCTACAATCTGCCTGCAATACTTAAGTTAACACCCCAATGTCCCTTCAAACTGATATATAGTGCCACCACCCTTTGGATGGTGATTTCTATCTGACATGCATGAATCCTTTAGATCAGACTTTCTGTTTCATTTTGGCTTGGTGTTCTTCCATTCTTTCTTCATTTACTCCCTAACACAATAACGGGGTTCAATGTTTACATCTATTAGGATCTCCTTTGGATACTATATACTGAATCCACAGACTGCTAAATATGAAGTAGACTTAAGTACAATGTACAACCAACCCGCATGTAGAAGGTTTTGTTTTTTAATACTTATTTAAAAAATATTAACAGTCTTACTGGTTTATAATTAATTTCATACATTTGTAATAGTCTCACATGATAATTGTGGGAAGCAGGCTTAAGAGGATGATAATTTTTAATGAAAAGAAAGTCCAAAGGTTCAAAATGACAAAGTCAAGTAAGAGAAGGGCAGGGACGGGAACCCAG